AAAAAAAAAAAAAAAAAATTAGAATACTCTTATATAATTCGATAATAATTTTGAAACTGAGATTGATCGCGTGAACTCGGCCAATACAAACAGCAATGGAAATATGAAGTACAAAAAAAAAAAAATTTCACTTCCTTTTCCTGAAGTAAAGAATCTGAGAGATGTACGGAGCAAGCGGTAGGCCTAAGATAATTTCTGCACTTTACCAATTCGATTTGTATGCAAAAATTACCTTTAATAATGGTGTGATAAAATAATTAACATAATTTGCTTTGAGCAATGATGGCCAGTAGGCGTGCAGAAAATTTACAATCAATCCTTTGATATGCGAACCATCGGGATCCTGAAATGTTTTGGTATGACGTGCTGAAAAATTATACAACTGCATATGATTTTTATGAGATTGAGATTAGCCAGAGATCAGTTTTTTGCCTTCCTTGAACGAAGATCCGGGAAAATAGGTCATAAATAGCGGTGAAACAAGACTAGATACCCTAAGTATAGTGCACCAGCGAGACAAGGAACTCTTCCAGGAAAGTGTTCCAGTGAATAAAGTGTTAAAATATAAATCAGTTAATTGACACAGGGAGAGAAAAAATGCCTAATTACTTGATCAGTCATTATCAACAGTCGACCGTAGCGCAAACTCTTCAGTTTCGCATCATCGCTGTAATCTTCGCCAAATTTCAAACCAAGTATTCGTGTAAGAGCTGAGATTTCCGCATTTTCAACAGCCTGCAAAAAAAACCCTCAAATTACAGTCACAGCACACAAAAGACACAAACAAAATGGACGTGGGATCGGCACCCCCGATAAATAGCTAAAGTGAAATACCCGGCAGAAGTCGCGAATTTTATGTGTTGGGTCATAAGGAAGGACAAAAGATAACTGATCAAAAAAATGAAAAATTGAATAGCACTCATACGAGCTAATTGAATATTTTTTGAAGGCCGAAAACGAGGCCAAACCGAACGCCTGAATTGAGCCAAATGAACAAGGTAAGCTTAGAATCAAGTAGAAAGGAGGCATTAACGGCGACAACCAATACAACAATAAAATCTGTTTGTGTTAAAAAAAAGCGGCTTATGTAAGATTTCGATTTCATAAGCACAGCAAATCACCCAAAATTGACGTTTTATTTTAAAAAGTACCGACCATTTCAGCATCCAATCCACGAACATTGCTTAATTTGCCACGGATCGGAAAAACCCCGTAGTGTTTTCGACCAACAACAGTAAGTCCAGCAACGGCAAGTGCTTTCGCAGAATCTCCTTCCGTAACGATCAGTGTGCAGCAGTGGCCATTTTTGGTGCCAGCTTCAGCAGCATCTTCCAATTTCGGTAAATCCCAGAGTTGCCGCTTCATTGTGCGGTTCAGCGAAGCCTTAAATTTGCTAATAAATTAACAGCTGAGAAAATTTCGAACAATTTTACACCATAACGTGACATGCGCGTCTTCTACTGTACCTAGAAATAGCGATAATTTTGCATACCACTTCCGAAAAAGATCAAATCCCCCATGTTGCATGCCACAGGTGCATTTTCCGCAAAAGTGCTATCAGATTTGTGTGGGAACAACCAGAGCGGATGACAAGTTTGCGTGCAGTTTACACACTATGTAAAACTATTTTGCAGAAGCGATTCCCATAAAACGAAGGAAAAATAACAGCTACAAGTAACAGATAAAAAGAAAAATGCATACCGCATGCTGTTTCCTGATATCACCCAACAGATAATCGACAATATCACTGCTTGCAAGGAAATTCTCGAAAAATGACTCCGGTATTGTGCAGGTGGAGCCAAAATTTCTCACCGTAGTTGTAAGATATTCTTTTGATTGCGATTCAAAAGCGGGATTCTCGATTAAGCAATTCACAAACACAGTAAGTCTGTTCTTCACCTCAAAATATTCAAATCTGATAAAAATGTAAATTTTTCTCATAAAAAAAAAATTTGAATTTGAAATCTTTTGATGTCCGGGAGGATTTGAAATCTTTTGATGTCTACGAAATATTCCTTGAATACCACAACTCTTCGGATAAACGGTGTGGTGGTCCCACATTAGCTGATTTTGCTGGGATTTTCCCACACGTTCGGCACAACTACTCCAAATTTTTCGATCCTAAGCTAGATATTTCTGTTGGTACTCACCGCCTGTTCGAAATACACAATTCTATTTCTATATATTTTTTTATAAGCTACAGAAAAACAGTCCAGGACAGGAGGGTATAGCACGGCTGCACTGATCAATGTGGTTAAATTGTCATGACATCGAAAGCTCCACAACAGCCTTGGCAATCTTCCAAATTTTTGCAATACATTTAAAAAAAA